CCCTGGTCATCCTCACTCTGGGCATCAGCAGGACCCAGTCCATCAAGCCTAGACCCAGACCAAAAAAGAACCCTTTGATATAGCTAATTAAAAATTACATTTTTATAAATAAATACTTGTTTGAATAACATGCAGGACTACCTTCTGATGGCCTTTGGCATTCCATCGTGAGCTCTGTAGAAAATATAAGAGGCAGAGAAATCAAGGTTAAAGGTCAAGGTGAAAAACTGATCTGATGTAAAGTCAGTCAAATAGATGTTAAAAACCCACTTGTCACTCTCTCTGTCATCCTCTTGCAGCTGGTCCAGGCTGTAGAGGTCAAAGTGCGTAGCAGGGTATAAGAGACCGTCCAGAGGATCGGACTGATGGCCGTCACTTAGCCTGTGTGGGCCTGAAGTGGGCGTTCCGACTGAGAATAACAACATAGGACAACTTCACTTAAAAAGATCTTTGTGATTTCTGATGCGGAGACATCGGTTCTTCGGTCACTCACCCATATCGGCATCTCTGCTGGAATCTGAGCTGTAGTTGTTGCTGTTGGGGGATGACGTGTTGAAAGACATGGAGTGCATAAGTTCGGAGCCCTCGCTCGATTGGCTGCCACGCAAACGTCCAGGCTCAGCGTGTTCGTTTGTCCCCAGTGACGGCGTAGACAGTTGTTTCTGAGGTCGTGGCCGACTGTCCAAGGCTTTACCCACTGAGTGTGGAGAAATGTGTCAAATTCATGCAACAAAAACATCATCACCAAAGAAGTGTTTACAGTTCCACTCACCCGGTCCGGACTCAATGCGGCTCGGACGACGCTGAGGACCAAGGATGCTGGGAAACCTGGGTTTCTTCACCTTCACCTCCTCTCCTTCCTTTTCTGTCTTTATGCTTTTCTGTATTAATACAAACAACCGCCTACATTATAGAAACTTCATTTTTTAAAGAAAATAATATAAGCATAAACAAAGCTTATGAGCACCTTAATTTTAGGGAGAAAGTTTATCCGGACCCGTTTGGACTCCAGGTTGCGAGGTTCCTTCACCCTCACACCAAGGTGCTTCATGTACGTATAGATAACATACTGCATTGTAGTGCTGTAAGACAACAATGTACATGAATTACAGTCAAATGAAAACAACAGTGTTTTTATTCTTCAGCTCAGAGAAAAATACTGACCCTGTTGTATGTTAAGCCCATATGTCAGACTCATACAATTTTAACGACAGTGAGTTTGAAGCCACAATATGGCTTTATGAACAAGACTGGGGGAATCAGTGGCACTTTTCAATAATTCATTTTAAATATGCTGCATGAATTAACCTAACCCTGCTCCAGTGAAAACTACAAAGGAAAAAAGAAAAGGAAAAACCCTAACAGCAGATTTTCACAGTTTATAGTTGTGTCTAAATTAAATTGTTGTTCCTGCTGCAGTGAGGCTAAAATAGCTGTGGTTATTTTTTTAACTCAGCCCTCTCTGGGGTTAAATCTGTTGTAATTGGTGGGTTGGCCCATGCTCTGGTGATGAGTGAACTGCAACTGAGTGTTGGAAACGCCACGTCTGACCTAGAGGCTTCCTGATCAGATGTGAAAATGGCAGTTGGTATGAAGAAAAGAAAAAAAGCCTCAGCTCTGCTGTCTGTAAAACTTGGTAGCAATTATAGAAGAGAAGCCAAAAATAAGTCAGGGAGTTCAGACACAGCACACTCCATCTGGCTTTTATGACTTTTACACTAACACACAGCAATGTGGCATGATTGGTCTACATACTTGAAAGTATGTTCTTTAAAAACTCTAGAAGCTCTGTAAGGATAGTTTACTCACCATTTTTCTTCTTCTGTATTCTGAGTAGTTAACCTAAAAACAACATAAAAGGAGTGTTATAATGATCAGTGTAAAATCACTGCCTCAGCAGCAGCAGCCACAGGTCTGTGTGTGTGTGTGTGTGTGTGTGTGTGTGTGTGTGTGTGTAGCACTTACAGAATGTCCTCTATCTTGGCGATGATGTTTTCAGCATACGAGCGCTCTCTCTCCAGAGTGACACGGTCTCTGACTCGCTCTTGGTCCAGTCTGGATAGTTCCACCTCAGCCACTGTTAAACCCATGCTGCGCTTCTGCCTGTGGGCACCAACAAGAAGTAACACTGATGTAATAGATACTCGAGCAAATAGAGAATCACTAAAAACAGCAAGATAACAACATGTGGGACATTAAAAATCCCTTATTCCCTTATTTTCATAAGTCCCTTATTCTTCCCATAATGGGGAAACTTACAGTTCAAGTCTTGCAACCTACACAGGCTTAAGTACATGGTTGTACCTCACAGGCTGCCACACAGGGATATGTGGTTCCTCTGGGAATCAAACCAAAGACTCACTGCTCTCTGCAAGCATGCCAAGCGCTACACTATGGAACCACTATACCTTCTTAGGTGCAGTAGTTTCCAATTTTTTCCTGAGACTATTGTCAAGTGGACACCTGAATAAACCTTATTTTAAAAACACTCCAATGGAACTGAAATTCATTGGCCTTGTTGCAATAACTACACAGGAATCTGCCCACACCTTTGGGATCATCTGCTCAGGTAAATGTGGAAGAATTTAACAACGAATTTATGCAGTTATTTAAAAAAAATAAACACAGTCAAAAATAGAGTATACAAAAAAACTGACCTGAAATCTTCAAGGTTCCTCTGAATGTCAGGGAGCAAAGAGTCCTGCAGAGTCTGAACATGTTGTCTGTTGATTTCCTCTGGGATCAGTTCTGTTCGCCGCCGGTCTGCAACAACGTGCACACACGGAGTCAGAGTCAAACAAGAAAGCACAACATGTACCAGCTGATGCAGGTTGACATAGGTATGTCTAACATAAGGCTCTCTCTGTCCAACTATGTTAAATGTATAATTAAATACTAACCCAGGTCAGATGAGATGGATTCAGGAACAGCCACTTTTAAATTCTGCAAAAAAATATAAGGTGTTAAACTTTGACCACAGTCTCATAAGTAAATGATCCACTAATTCTCACAGTTGTCAGAAAATCGTAACAATTTTCTATTGACAGACATGAACTAAGTGAGATGGATAATGAATTTTAAAATTAATTTTCTATTGACAGACATGAACTGACAAGTGAGATGGATAATGAATTTTAAAATGGTACATTTATTATTCCTTTCTTTATTTATTTAGACTTCAGGGCAGGACAACTGCGACTGAACCCTAGAGTTCTCCACTTACTGCTCCCCTATCAATGAAGAAGGTGTGCAGGTCCATGAACACCCGTCTGGTCTCTTTGGAGTTGGTCTGCTTGTAGAAGTCAGCGTAGAGGTAGCACAGCTGAGGGCAGAAGATAAGAAGTTATAAGAAGCTGTCAATAGAGTCCGCCAGGCTGCGTAATTAATAACAGTTGTTGTGTAGAACTAATAACACTGCTGTTCTGACCCGCAGGACTTCACAGTGAATGTAAATCATTTTCACAGCTTTCACTCATCAACAAAGCTCAGTATAGGTTAGTATAGCATATTATACATTTAAAAACATTATAAAAAACGTATTAATTATTTTGAGAATATTAAGAGATGGGAGATGCTTGTAATATTTTGTTGAACTATTAAAACAAATGATGTGATGTTTTTCTTAAATTGGTATCGTTACAGTGGCCAAGTTCAGCCACCGTGTGCTGCTGTTTTACTAGTACAAATTAACAAGCAAATGGTTCCCACTGGTACTAGTGCAGAGCTAATAAAAACACACACACACACATATATATATATATATATATATATATATAAAATCTAGGAATAGTAGTGTGTCTTACCACTGGAGCAGCATCAAACTGGGAAATAACATGGTGGAGGAAGGCTGCCAAATGGGCGGGTCTTGACTTGAGCTGTTCAATACTGTTAAAGCAGTTACACTGGCCGTTTGTCTGTAACACAGTCAGGACAAAAGCTTTTAGTCTCCCTACATTACAAAAAGGCTTTGTACTGAATGATAAAAACACAGACAGAGGGAGAGTCAGACGTGTTAAAAGTTGTCCTTGGACTGTTAAAGACACTGTACCTGCTCCTGGTCTGAATCAAAGTAGTCGTCCTCAGCTCCAATGATTTGTGAGACGATGCGAGAAGATGAAGGACTGCTGACTGTGGTTGGGGACATCGAGTCCTGAGGAGAAGAAGGTCGACAGAATCATTGGGGACATGTATACCAAAATGTACACAATTACTGAAAAATACACAAACAAAAAGTGGACTTTGGTACTCTGGTGACGTGTATCTACTGTACCAGGTCAGTTGTGTCCTCTGCCTCTGGTGAGTAACAGGAGTTGTAGCTGTTCCTGGGGGTGTTCTTTGGGCTGGGACAGGATGTCTCCCTTGGATAAACAGAGTCTGGAGATCCAAGTCCAAATCTGTGAGATAACTGGAGGTGGGACACACAACATAATGTTGCAGGTTTAGGGCAGTGGTTCCTGACAATTTTTGGACTTGTGGACTTTTTTTAAGAATACATTTTAAATCATGTTTGTTATACTATGTATGTTGCAAATACCAAGTAGCCAGATTTGTACACAAAGAATTTTTAATCAATCCAGCACTATCAGAAAAAACATGATTTTGAAAACATATAAAGCTGTAAGAAAAATAGGTTTTTATTTCCACTGTCAGCTTAAAGGGAAATATTCTGCTATTTTTATATAAATTAATCTAACTTGATATGTAAATATAATGTTACTTACAAGCTTTGGTAACATTTGGAGACATTTACTGCAGACATACTAAAACCTCTACTTAGTCGTTGAAAGACCATTTTGCCTCTCTTCTTCAACTCATATTTCACGATGACATTTACAGTTTAAGTGTGAACTTACAGGAGTGCTGCTCCAGGACACGTCTGTGTTGTTGTCTCCCCTGGAGGTGGGGGTGTGCTCGGGTTCAAACATGCTACCATCATCTGCATCGCCACCTGGAAAAGCCTCCTGAGGAACGACACACACACATTTATTACTGGATAATTAACGACCCACTTGACATACCACTAAAAACTGAGTGACATGTTGGAGCACAGTGACAGGTTTCAGTGGGAACACTGGTGTGTGACCTGATGAGAGTGTGATGTCAGGGAATAAAAGACTAACACCTGACACGGATGACAATGACTTTGTACACACAATACTTTATTACTTTTGTTTCCCAAATTAACAGAACCACAGAGACACATCATAACTAAATGCTCTAACTGTGAAGGGAACCACTGTTGATGAAAAATGTACATCTGAAAAGAACTCTACTTCATATGTTACTCAGACTGGAGGGAGCCTACGTTGCTGTACCTGTGCTGCCCCAGTGGCCTTGAAGAGCTGACCGTGCAGCTGAGGAATGTGTTTTTTAGATTCCTGGATTTCTTTCAGTAGTTTCGGGGAGGGGTTCTTACTGTACTCCTCCTTCATGGCCTGCACAGGAAGTAATGATAGCAGAAATTAAATAGTGCTTTAGGGCTGATAAAACGCTGTGATGTGTACATGTTGGACTGGAAAAATACAGCATTACACTAGTACTATTTGGTTGTTACTGAATGCCATGAGTTCAGCACTTTATGAGGTGTTTAAAATGACCTCAGAGGTTGTTGACAGGTTGACTTATCGTGCATTTGCTCAAATTTTAAAGTGGTAGCTGGAATAATTAAATACAGCAATTAAAGTACATAGAATAAAAATACGAACCTTCAACTCCTGCTGCTCTTTTAAGAGCATCTTTTGCAAGATGTCGACCCTCTGGATGCTATTTTCTTCCTGTGAAGGTGAGAATAGAAATTAAGGGGTCACTGGACTGAATAACTGGAAAACTGAGATTTAAAGACAGTGTGACAAAAGAGACAAATCAATAGTACAAACTGTTGTCATTACCCATGGATGTTGTGTTGATGAGAGTCTGTCCTGAGGACTGTAGGGTCGCTCTGTTGCTGGGGAATTTGGAGAGGAAATGCTAACACCCAACATTATAGACTCTGCCTCAGGCAGAGGGATGTGGGCCAGCCCCGGGGGGCGCCCCAACACTGTGAGGGCCACATATGAGCCCGCTGGGGAAGAACGGACAGCTTAAATAATTGGTTTTCTTTGTGATTTGAAAAATGTGAATGTTTGCCTAAATGACTCACATTTGATGAGCTTCACCACTTCAATGTGATTAGAATGTGTAACAAGAGTCCCGTTGACCTGAAACAAAGTAATGGAACAGTGACGAAAACAAAAACACACAATGCAGCATTTACAACAGTTCACAATCAGAGCACGGAGCAGGAATTGTAGCTGACCAGCAGATGGCAGCATACAGCCTCGCATAAGTGAACCGTCTGTTCGAAGTCACAGAGGGAGATGAACTCTACCTTAATGATCCTGTCTCCTGTCTGAACACCTGCTCGCATCGCAGCGCCATCTGTTGACGACAGACAGAAAAAAAGATTATTATCAGAGAAAAAATATGAACAAAAACAAATATATAAAACGTGACCTGCTGGTGAACGGTACAATGTGAAGCCCTGACAGACCAGATGTTGCAAAGTGACTATTTCAAAAGACCATAACAGTGTTTATACACATGAAGAACCTGTTTCACAGCTCCACCCAAAACAAAGGGATTTAAGCAGCAGACAGGTTATTATGAGATCCAGATCTGACTCCGCTGCCAGCAGCCTCAAATATAGTTTTAAATGAATGCGGTGCTCACAACGTGCAATTTGGATTTACTGTTTTGTATTAGTCAGAACATTTAAACTGGTGTCACTGAACATAAAAAAGTCTCAAAGACAGAAAAGTGAGACCAAAGGCTACGTTTAAAACAATTATGATAAACCATGACGAAGAAAAAACATGATGAAGAGGCACAGTCAGGACAGGGAGTCAGGGGTGTGTATTGGCAAGAACCTGGTGATACGACATGTATCACAATACAGGGGCAACATTACGATATATTGCAATATACTGTGATAATATAGTTATGACGATAGTATTTTAAACAATTTAATTGTCTGGAAATGTCAGCATAGTAAACACACAATGCTGTTCCATCTTAACATTAGGTTACTATTGGAAAAGAAGGATCCACATAATAAGAAGAAATAAAAGCAAAACGATATGAACCAATGCCATCAATATTTGCATGTTAATAGTAAATAATAAAATCAACAGCACTGTACAATATCAATACAGTATCATAATATTGTGATAGTGTTTCATGTTCTTCCTCCCCTAAAGGGGAGGCTGAATTAAATAATAATCTGAACACATGACCAGACTGATTTGACCTGAAGCAGCAGGTAAACCAACGCATGTTTCACACAAACCAAACCCCCAGGGTGTGTAAATAACAGCATGTTTATGACTGTGTATTACACCATCGATAAGTGACAGGGGCTGTGGATTTGGATGTGCTGTGTGCTTCATTCTGCCCATGAATGAATATGATTTCAATATGTATATGTTCACATCACTTTCACAAATTAGCACCTTAAATGGGTTCATTTCGACAACCTTAGCCGAAGAAAATGAGCTGCAGCTTAGAGCAGAAAGATAATTCAAACTACTGTATGATGCATCAAACACTTGACACTGAGAGAACAGGATCAGATCAAAGGTAATCACAGAACCTTTGTCCTCCTCAGTCCGTCTCCTCAACTCACCTTCTTTGACGAGCTGCACAAACACTGGGTTATCGCCACTGACAGTGAGACCGAAGCCATTCTCATCTTTCTGGATGATCACACATCGCTGCACCAGACCTGCGAGTGAAACCAGACCAGACCAAAATGTTAGCAGTTAGTCTGACGAGAAGGTCCTGAGATTTTTGTTTAGATGAGTTGGATTCGCCTCCATAAAAGCCATTTGAAAATACAAAAAATATGAAGCGCTACTTTAAAAGTCATGCATTTGTAAAGAAGCAGTGCCATGAAATGATCAGGAATATTAAGACAAGCTGCACATAAACAGACTTTTAAGAAAAGAAAACTGTAAGACATTTACATAATAATGCAGCCAACAAAAGAAAAAAGTCTCTCTCTCCATTATTATATCAGCAGATAAGCCATCTGCAGTCATCTAGACACCATTATCAAAACAACAAGTGCTTTGACACAGAGGATTATTCAAAGCCCGGAGAGCAGCCCAAATTTATGTGATTCTTTCTGGTTTAATTTCAAGGGCAATAAAAAAAAATCTCAGTTTAATTTCTTGATAGAACATTTTCAGAAAGTTTTTTTAAAATGTATTTAATAATGAGTCTACACTGAAAACTAAACATGATTTTTTTTTTCTTACTCTGTGTTGTGTCCATGGTCTCACTGGCTGACGTAAAAATTTACATGTAATCGAACGTCTTGTTAAAATCACACACACTTTTGATCATTTTTGAACTTTTCTTTTTTCAAGCATATCCTGCAAATTTCAAATGTATTAATATTCGGCTGGTGAACTGGTCTGGATGTTTTGTCACTGATTTCCTGATGGTTGCAGTATCAACCACAGAGGTGAATCGATCAGGGGGACAGCGTGGTGTCATGGGGCAGCAGGAGAATGGAGAGAATGGAAGCCAAAAGCCCCAAGGTGGGGGCAGGGTGGAGAGGGTCGGAGGCAGAGCAGAAGGAACAGGGGGAAGGGAAATGAAAGGACAGCCAGGGTGTCGAGAAACACATGGAGCCATATGGGTTACAGCACTGGTGTGAATTTGCCTTTACATGCTAATGTTTGGGCTCTTCATAGGCTTCAGTTATGGATCTTTGGTGGCATTTAAAAAAACAACAACAAAACATTGGAGAACAGAGCGGATTGTTCACGGATAATGGCCACTTCAATCTATCATGAGTCATGTATTATTCAGAGGTTTAACTCATTCACAATCAGCATCTTTAGGTAAAAACGCGAGGAAACATTCTCAGGAGAATAACCTGACCTTCAGGCCTGACAGAGGCGACAGTCGGCCTCACACTCAGTAGAAGATGCACTTCAGAGAGTTATTTAAATTTCATTCAAAATGTCAGACAATGTTCCATTAAAATCTGAAGCATCGGGTGCTTAATTATTGCTAAATTTAAAATGTTTTGAATTGAAAGTTCAAACCTTAATTTTGTGACTGCTGTTTCAGTTTCTTGCTCTTAGATATCAGTCAGTAAATGTTCTGTTAACTAGCAGCCTTCCTGCGTTACCTTGTGACAATCGCATATTTGACATTTCATGCTTTTGCATTTTTTGACTGTCTGACAGGTTATATCTGTTGATCAGCACACCAGACTGTCAACAATAGGCACTAGCATTACTTTAAGGCCTTTAAGTATTTGTTTTGTCAATTCAGAGCTTGTGAGGCCAGACGGCCACTAGGAGTCATCAGGCTGGAAATCTCACACAAATCTGACAATTTCCTTTTTTAGACCTTCTTGTTCCTGTGCCAATGTGAACAGCAACAGTGGAAAAAGTGCTTAAAAAAGACAGACGTCCCTGATGATGTAACCTGCAGAGGCTGTGTCACTGTACAGGTCATCATTTCAACAATTTTCACACAACTTTTTTCAAACTACTCAGCAAATAATTATCATTTATGCTACTGCCGTGGTGATGTCACACCAGGGTCTGCACCATGTGAGGATGTTAGTTGTCACACCAGGAGAAGGCTCTTCTCTTACCACAGGACTCGGGCTTTCCGTCTGCTAGTACACTGCTGCTGCCACTCTTCTGCACCACCAAAGCTTCTGCTCACAGCCCCCACCAGGCAGAACACAGCACAGACCGCACAGCAGCAAACAACAACAACGACAAAAAAAAAAAACCATGTAAAACAAGGACAGACAAAAGAGGCAGGGGAAGAAAAAAAAGAATCGATGAAATAAAGGAAAAAAAAGAAACATGAAGAAGAAACAATTAAGGCTAAAGAAAAAATAAACCAATAATTATAAAGTAGGGTGAATTTTTTGATCTCTTAGTGAATGAAAAGTCAGAAAGTCGGAGCTCTCCTGCCCACCATCCCACAAACTCATCCACCAAGTTGCAATAGAAAAACAAACGGAAGACAAATTCACCAAGAATTCACACCATTTGAAGATGAACCGAAATGAAAACATGGGTCAATGACACGCAAACATGCAGAGGTCAGAGGTACGTTGCATCACAAAGCATGGCTGGAAAAAGTACTACAAAGTATTCTTTTCTTCTCTGTGGTTACTCTGTATTTAAACTCCACCAAACACTTTACCACATGTTGTGTGGAACAACAAATTAAAGAAACCTTTTGTTGGGTACAAAAACAGTAATTGCATTTAGTTCTCAGTCCCTGCAGACAGTTCCTAATCCCAAACCTAGTTTCTAGCAATAATAGTGTGTAGTCAGAACACACCACAGGGTGAACCGTCCTTTAGTCGAGCAAATTCACATTCTGTTCTTGATAAATATTTTCCAGGACTTTTCGAGGACATCATCAACTACTACAGTATGACAGATAGGTTACTGCATCATGTAGTAATGTGTCGTAAGGTTTTTCTCTTCAGTTGCATTTCCTACGTTTTCCCAGATTATTTCTATGATTGTTTTGATTGGCTTATGGTGCCACACAGTGCGCTGCACTGGCTGGAAGCTTCAATAATGTTCATTAAATACAACAACTGGTTTTTCTTCACTCACAATTCAAAAGGAAGCAGGGAGGGGAAATAATTTTCCAGATATTTCCAATACATTTAAATCTTTTTCATTTTCCATATGTTTTTCCATGACTGGAAATGAGTCGTTCATTTGACATGGGCCTGTGCCCAAACAGTTTTGGAGAATACTACATATTTACAGTATGAATAAACTATTTCTCAGACATGTTATTAGACCTATATCGATAAAATACATGTATGTATCTGTATAAAATATCTATATGTAAGGGTTTGTATGTATTTGCGTATATGTATGTGTGTGTACTTGTGTATGTGTATGTATGTACTGTAAATGTAAGTTTGTTTGTATTAGGGCTGTCAATCCTCCCCTCAAATCAGATTTCTAATATTTCTTATGTTAAATATTCAAATTAGATTCCAATTTTTATTGCTTTTCTAACATCATTACATACACCTTCACCAGCTTATTATTATGTCAACTAAAAGGCACTCCAAACAAATCTGTTATGTAACATTTGCACCATGTTTTACCAACTTGAAATAAAACTGCATGGAGTATCAAAATATTATGAGGCTTATAATATTTTAATAGAATCATATTATTATATAATAAAATTATATAATTATAATATTGTTAAGGTGTCCTGGTGAGCAGCTGGCGGGGTTCGAGATGAGGTGAGGGGCAAAAACAAGTTGATTTACCTCATTGTGGAAGGCAAAAGTTCGAACGTCAGTTCCCACATTCAAATGTTCCCATTTTTTTTAAATAATTTGAATTCTATTCGAATAGCAAAGTTTATTCTGACAGCCCTATTGTGTATATATACAGTATGTGTGTGTGTGTGTGTGTGTATGTATGTATGCATGCATGCATCTATATAGGTATATGTGTAAGCGTATGTATGATGTATGTGTGTATGTTGGAGTTTGAAGCATCAGAAAGAAAACAATAACTTAAGAGATGAGAGAGAGAAGAAAAAACAGAGTCGTGCTGTGAAATGATAGATTTACCTGTGGGGTCAAACTCATTGGAGGAAAGTGAAGTTTTGTCACTTTTGGGTTTCTTGTCTGGGGGGTGGTCTTTACCGATGCTGCTGGTTCTAAACAGAGAGAGTACAACCACATGAGGATACAAAAAAAATCTGGCACAACAACCTCAGCATTTGTCCATTATGTGTGGTCACATATTACATGGTAGTCTCCACAATCTTCATGCTGGCGAGGCTTCAGAAGGAATTACAGTGACTCACAAAACCAACAATTGTTCACTTCATCATTGAGAACATTGTTGCTTGAAGTCCTCCAAGTGTATGACTCATGGCGAGTGTGTCTACTGTATAATTTGACAGAGAGAGAGAGAGAAAGAAAAAGAGCGAGAGAGGATGTGGAGCCACAGTGCAGAGGAGGGCCGGAGAAAAGACGCTCTGAGAGGAGGTGCCACAAGGCCAGACTCTCCCTTCAACCTTGGGAGGCTGTATGTATGGCTTCCTATACTGGCCCCAACTGTGAAAGGCCACTGTTCTGTTCACAGTGAAAGGCAGTGATGGGCCGCCCTTAGAAGAGGGACCCCTTTGTCAGTCACTCTGTGTGTGTGTATGTGTGTGTACACGGGTGAGGGTGTGGGGCGTGGGGTATGTTTGGTCCAAATTCTGAAGACTTCTGTGTTGCAGCACACCAGGCCTGGGCTCATTTCCCTCCTTGCTCCTTGTGTGTTTTTGTGTGTGTGTATTTGTGTGTGTGTGTGTATTGAATCATTAAAATGCATGAAGTCATTAAAGTTTCTCACCTGCTTGCTTTCTTGGGAAACCTGCAAGATAAAGAAAAAAAGAAGGTGATCAGTCTGACAGTCATCTGTCAGGAGTTTATGACAACTAATGGAGAGAGAAGAACAAGATCCAAAGCCGACAGCTTCTCTGAGCTGAATCCAGCTGTAATAGCTGTGATAATCTGGAGTTCTTCTGCAGAGTAAAGCTCTTTTTACAGGTCAAATGTTCACTGATCTCTTTGCATCTTGTACCATGATTTAGTCCATCACATACATTAATCATGTTCAAGGAAAGGTTCAATGTATGTGAGTGGTAAAAATAAAAATGAGAGCAGTTAGAGCAGTAATAGTCTGTAAGAGAGCATGGAAGTTCCTCTGAAGCCGTGGTTTAACCTGAGGACAAACAAAACCTCAACAGTGCTGATGGGTAAACAATTTTGAGACCAAGACATATGTTTGGCTTAACAGTTCTACATAATCCTCACTATCATCACTCGACCAAAGGTCAAAGAACAAGTACCATGCACATTTGCACATGCACAAGGTCATCAAATTCTGACCCTGTCACAAACTCGAACACACTATCATGTGTAGGGTGGTCATACTGTAGCCGACAACAGCAAGAGTTACAGTTGGGGAAATCCAAATCCTTAACCATAAACTCAAGGACATGGGTTCTGTGGTGTTTAATAAGTGTAAGTGACCCCTGCTGAGTTTGTCAACTACACATTATGACAGGGAATGTAGCGCCATGATCCTCAGTTCCCAAAAACAAAGGTCAGAAAAACTGTCTTTTGATTTGTTAAATAATAAGAAACTAGTGTCTTCTTACAAAACATAGTTACTCTGCTTAGGTTGTGATGATATAAAATTGTGCGCAATGACATCAGTCAGGACAGTTAAATATTTCAGAACACCGAGTCTTCCGTAATGGGGTGGTCTCATGACTACCCTACCCGCATTAACTCTCTTTCTCCTGGCGACAGTGCGTCCCATTCAGAGCCTCGCAGGAGCAGCTGAATGGGTCGTTTATAAGAAGGTCTACGACTGTAATAAGTTCCAGAGCCTCCGAAAGAGAGAGAGAGAGCGAGAGAGTGAGGATTTAACTAGCCCACCCCCAGAAAAACCCCTCTGAATTGGAGAGATGGAAAAGTCAGCACATACACACACATCTGAATGTGACACGCATGCACAAAGAGTCAGGGGTGGGAAAAGTGAGTGTGAGTGTTGGTTTGGAAGATCATACGACAATGAATGAAAACATGACATGTCAGAATTAGGAGGACGGCTGACGCATCAGACGCAGCCCAGAAATGATGCCTTCACGGCATCTTACCATTTAACAACACTTCTTTGAACTCTATTTGTTGCTGAAGAAAAGAAAAACAGGGCCTAATGAAAAGAGGACAGAGTGATGATGCCTGAAGGGTAGCAGATGGTGTATTAATGTTATAGTCCGTGACATCAAACTAAATTTCAATGTGTTAAACTTCCTACAATTTGATTTTCTAAAGTCATAAACACAAGAAAAGCCGACAAGAACGTCACTAAAAATGTTGATACCACCACAACAACAACAAAGTGTTGTGTGATTTGACGTGTGAAACAATGTCAATGCACAGCCAAAAACAACACAGAAAATGTTAGATACGTCTCTCACAGGAAACTGGGCTAATTGAACTTCTGTGTGGGGTTAAAGGGCAAATTCCATGGTCAAAAGTATGAACGCATGATTTGATCTGATCAATGATTGGCTCATGGTGTGTTTAAATACATAGTCTATAATGTCAACAAGCCATTTGATAAAGTGATATATTCAGCAATGTTTCTGCACTGGGGAGGGAGGGAGTCTATACACCTTTAGTCTCCTGACACCGTTCCCCTGCTAAAATGCCATTAGCATGTTAGCTAAAACAAAGGATAACCCAACAATTGAGGAATTAGCAATTTATTAGTAGCTAAGCTGAAGTTCCAGGAGAAAGGAAAATCTATACTAGTTAAATGACAGTATTCCTATAATTATCTCTGTCAGTCACCACATCCAGGGCTGTACCCGGTCTCACTGGAGGACTTTTTAGTTAGATCTACATCTCAAAAGTAATGTTTCAAATATTTCCAAATAAAATCTATAGCACGAACAGTTTCCATACTTAAAATAATAATTAAAAAAATAACATGAACAGCTTTCTCTCCTGTGGCTGTTTCCTCCCTCAATCTATTAAAAAAACACATTTATCAAATTTTCCTGTGTGGAAATCTGCACAACACAGTCTGTTCAGAGTTCTCATGTTTACACAACCAGTGTCATCAACTTTCTGGAAAGTCAGACTGGGAGATGATTAGAGTCTTGGTGAACAGAGGCCAGATTCATGATTTTAGTGCCCTCTTCATCTGCTCCTTCCTGTCTGACTGCTGCACCACTGCCCTCCACAAGGTTGGCTGCTCATATTAAAGGGTCTCGCTCGCAGGTCAGCGCTTTTCTTTTTCCACTAACCAGTTTCCCTGACATAGAGTGAGCTCTGGTAATTGCACGATAAATATCCAGCCAGTTTAGCGTGATCTCAGCAGAGTATTATTTGCAGCAGTTGTAACTCTTCTCTCTGCTGTAACACCATATTAACACTGTTATATAGTGTTGGCAGAAACGCAAGAAACAAAAGTGCACCTCCCAACAGGGCCAATTGGAAATAGAAGAAATGATCGTCGTAGATAACAGTTTAAATAGTGCAGTACTTGTTATGACTGTCTCTTTCAAAACAATGTGTTTGGTGTTATCAGTTGCGGTCGCACTTCTTAACCCGAATGATGAAATAATCAAACAAAGAATAATGTGTACTAATAACCAGTATAGGAAGTCATATGTTAGGGTTAGCATCAATGCCCTTCAGCAAAAAGATTTGCTAGTTCAATCCCCAGGCACAGAAGTTGCATGGAACTACTGCAGTTTCCTGTGTACAAAAAAATTGGGATCACCTAGACAGTTCACTCTAAACAGACCATATGTGTTAATGTGAGCGTGGATGGTTGTTTGTCTGTATGTATGTGATCCTATAATGGTCAGGCAAACTGACAGGCTACCCCGCCCTCACTCAGTGGCCGCTGTGATTGGCTGCAGCTATGAACGAAAAAGTAAAAGATACAGATACACTGTACCTAATACATAATGATAACAAATCAAATGATCTAATGTTTTTCCCAACATGACTTCACTCCAGTCACCCGTGAAACAAACCTAAACAAAAGCTTTTTTTTCCCTCAAACACCACACAGACCACACTGTCTGATCAAGTCACTTCATTCAGTTTTACACATCCCTCTGTAAATGTCTCAGTGTTGCAGCCTCTCAAACAACCTTCTGAATGACACTGTTAAATATGCAGGCAGTGAGAAAGGCAGAGAGAAGAAGGCCGAGTCAGAGCAGGGTGGGATTGGAGGGAGGGGCCGTGGTGGAGCGGGCCTGGGCTTGAATGCTCCATTGAGGTTTGGTGTTTTGATGGAAAACTGTGGCAGAGCTGGGCCAACTGCAGCAACAGTGGCAGCAGCAAAGAAGCAGAGACCAGACCAGACACGGAGCAAGAAACAGTCGTGAAAGAGGGAGGAGACGAAGGGCCCCGAGGGAGCAGGACTCACTGAACAAACTCTTATTCCTCCAAGTGTGTCGACAACTGTGAAAAAGAGAGTTTGCACTACTATATGCAACTACATGAACTCCTGTAAGGTTAGGGGAGGCAGTTCAAATTCAAATTCAAATGAATTATACACCACTAATTTCAATATTCTTTTAAGAGTGTAGTAAAAACCAGGCTCTGTAAAGTCTAATCATATAAAGTCTCTGCATGCTTTTCTTTGACGGGATTATTAACAGGTAATGTCATCTAAGGTCCCATTGGTCACCTTATTAACAGGTTTTCAGAACTGTTTTAAGTGATCTGAGCACATAATGGACATTTTAATGTCATCTAAGGTCCCATTGGTCACACAGCACTGGTTGGTATCTCAGGATACAGCTATTTAAGATGGTACGTTCTGCTCACATTGTCAGAGTCACACCAACGTCACAGCATTAGAGCATTTTTACACCATTGACACTTTACTGTGGATTGATTTTAAAAAGGCCACCCCACTGCAGGACTGACATTGACCAGAGCTAAATCAAATTCCAATGTTTCTACTAAATGTTATTCAATTACCCATGCACACTACACTGCAGTATGTTTGTCTCAGACCAAAGGCAGAGCTACAGAAAGTGGGACCTGGGTTGAATGTTAATTATTTTTAAAAAAAATTAAAGTACACTATAGAATGATGTTGGGAGTGGGGGAGGGGTTCAGGAAGTGAGAGCCACTCAGTAAGATATGATGTCAGGAAGTGAGTGAACATGATGCATAACTTTTGTTATCAAGACCCTAACAGGAGAAATACCTGCAAAGGTCACTGTCATCACAACTAATGAGAGTATTTTGGGGTGGGGCTAAGACTACTGCAGCACTCACGTGAACCGAACCAAGAGAACCAGATGGAACAGAAAATTAGTGACAGCCGACAAATACAAATCATATTTGTATACAAAGAAAAATCATGAGATTAACCATAGTCAGTATTGGTATTAGACAAGAAAAAGTTGTATTGAGCCATCCATTATTTCTATTTATGGATGACATACTGACTAAATTCAATAAATAAATTCTTGTTCTAGAACCCATACAGGTGACAGGATAGGAGTCCAAATAGATGCCCTAGGCCAGGCCAATCAAGAATTTCTCACGTGAGAGTGAATATTAACATGAACGCTGTATACTCTTTAAGACAAAGTAAGTGAGTTGTGTACAGACAGTTGACTGGTGGCAGACAGCAGTCACACACTTGATATCTAATCTGTGAACTTCAGTCACACAATGTGGGTTCACTGACAAACACAAAGACTGCATGATGTCACTGCTTTCCACTCCCTGCCATTGACAAAAAAAAAAGTCTACTCCCACACAGTGATACTCCTATTAAAAAAATATTTTCTGTATTACAGTCTAGACGAGTAATAAATC